CAATGCGGTTTAGCAAACAAATCTCCAACGATAGGAAATTTGTTGCATAACAACGTCTCCATACAATGGAATACTTAGCAGCCATTAAAAATGAGCAGAAATATACCATTAACGACATCTGGAAAGATGTATCTGACATATTAAAGGGGGAAACAAAAAAACAGGCTACAAAACATGATGTGCAGTAAGAGCTGTATCCGTGTTTCAGAAAAATAAACATTGTTTTTTAAAAATGACTCTAAACAAGGAGGTGCGAGGGCCAGCCCAGGCCCCGGGGTGTGTGTGTGTGTGTGACGGTAGGAGCTAGGAGCTGTACCTTGAGGAGCATGTGCTTCTCACTGGGAGTCAGATACATCTTGTTCTCATAGTAATCCACGCAGATGTTGACAATGTCAGCCAGCAGCTCCTCGTAGCCCGGGATCACTTCCAGTTGCTGATGTAGACACTAAAGAGCAGCGCCCCCAACTCTGGTTAGCCACGCCACCGGGGAAGGCCCACGGCTGGGCAGTGCGAGCGCTTGCAGCCTCTGACCACCAGGGGGCGGGGAGCCTGCCTCTTCTCCTCAATGTTTCCACAGCGGTTGGTCTGAACTCAGGCACATGCCCCTGGCAGGGAACACCCTCCCCTTGGGGCCCTCCATTTTATTTCAAGCTTTCAAGTGCTTTCAAGCTTTACAGCAACAGGCTGCCAGTAATCTCAGCTTAGTTCTGAGGGTGTGGACTTAGCCAGTGATGTCTCTTCAAAAGATGATGGGAAGACCCAGCCCAGCGGAGGAGAGTTGGGCCAGCAGGCTCCTCCCTCCTGGCAGGAAGCAGCAGCAGTACAGACACCTTTCCCATAAGAGAAGGGTCTGAGGTCTCCACCTCAGGCCCTTTCGCTCGCTCCAAAGGGACAAACTGGGCCCCTGATGGGTATCCAGTGGAAGGCACTGCTGGTGCTTTCCACTGACAACCTAGGGCTGTCTTCAGGAAAGAAACCCAGAGCCTCAAAGCTGATAGCCTTTTGTATTTAACAAAGAACAGGAAGGGCACAGGAAACCAGCAGCATCTCTGAGAGAGACCTGAGCCTGAAAACCCTTCAAAGAGGGAGGGCCCCCCTCAGCCTGAGCCCTGCTGACATTCTTGCTGGTACCTGCTTAGGTTGAACTGACAAATGAGCAAGATAGGTTACATTAAGTCAGGCTGAGCGTGAGAGCTGCGGCCAAGTGGCAGTAGTAACAACATCTTCTTATGTCCTTGCCATTTGTCAGGCTCTGCATACTGAGGGCTATTTATACAGTATCTCATTTATTTCTCACACTAGTTCTATGAGATGGATTCTCATAATATTCTCAAATCAACAGCCCCATTTTACAGATGAGAAAACTGAGGCCTAGACCTTCCCCAAGGTCTCACAAAGGGTCAGTGGAGGGTTCAGACTCCAGAACCCATGCTCTCAATCTATGCTAATGCTAGGGCAGAATACTGGCTGAGAAGGCTTTCAGGGAACAAAATGTGGAGCTGGGGAAAGGGTCGTCTATAGTTGGTAGGGGAGACTTAAGTCTGCAGCTTAATTCTTGAGGAGGGCAGTGGGGATGTTAGATCTGGATTGAGCGCCTCTTCTCCTGGTCCACCTGACTATGGACCTTTAGACCCCTGCCTGTGTCCTGGGACGCCAGGACTGACAAGGAGTTTGCCATCACCTGGGTGATCCTGTTGTGGTTGGCCAGGAACATGGAAAGGTTCTGCGACTCCTGGATAGACTGGGGGTCTGCCATCTTCCTCAGGAACTGTGCCGCCCTGAAATACGGGTGTTGCAGAGAAGATTGCTCAAGCACAACCTCCTTAAACCAGGCCTCATGGGTTCCCACTCCCACTTAAGCTGGAGGTACACTGTCCCCGAGGTTCAGGAGCTCTGACTGACACAGGTGACTCAAGCATCAAAGGAGAGGACGCTTTGGAGTCATTTCATTTGGAGCTGTTCAGGCCCTTGTGATAAGGGTGCCTGAAATTACGAGGCAAGAATGCACTGAAGCTCAAACTGCAAGTTTAAGGGCAGCTAGCACCCTATCAACCAGCCACAGGTGGTGAAGACAGAGTGAAACGAGCATCCTTGGGCCTCTCTCGCAGTGACTCCAGTGAAACCGCACATGGAGAAGTCACGGAGAAAGAACCCCAGGCAGAATGCTTTGTTTTTGTTGTGTATTTATGTTCTTTGCTGGGAAACCTCAGCGTTTCTAACACAAAGCATTGAAACCTCAGCATTTCTAACACAAAGCATTACACGGAAAACCAAAGTCTAGTTAAGCTAACAGGATTAGAGGTAAAGGGACAATGGGTGTGGGGAACACAGCAGGACTTCAATGGAGAAAACGGCGATAGCCCAGACCTTTCCAGCCTGATCTGGTGGTGGTGCGGCCTGTGTCATGACTATGGCAACAGATGAGACACCTGCCTTGTTTATGACCCTTAGCCGGTCCACAAAGCATGTTGGTTGTGACCACAATGGAAGGACTTGGCTAAACTGGGGAGAACTTGGGGAAGCTATGATATTATGAGCTGTCTATGAAATCTTTGTGAAAGGTGCCATTTCGGAGTCAGGCTTGAGATGGGGCTCTGGCTGCTGGGCACCCCCAAGCTTCATAATTTACTTAGGATACAATTTTGAGAATTAATCTGCTGTTTGCTTCTTCCAGTTACTATGGAGCCTTCTAGGTACTTTGATGTGGTTCAAGGAGGAGGAGCCTTTCATCAGTGACACAGAAAATCCTTCCCCAGGGATGTGTCCAGACAACACAGAGGAAATCTGCTGCTTTTGACTGCCCTCCCCTCCAACCCCACTTATGAGTGGCTATACCCCCCATTCTCAGTCCTTCTCTCTTATGAGCTGACACTGACTAACCTCACGGGCAAGCACCTGTTCAGTCAGAGTCCCCACCCACCATAGTGACTAATGGAGGGGTTAGCACATGACAAAGCTGGAGCAATGACAACCCTTCCTGGGACTTCTGCAAAAGCATTCGCAAGGAGGAGTGTCCTTTCCTTCCTTGGAAGCTGGAGTGGCTACGCTGAAGGGAGGCTGAAAGTGGCTGGAGGCCACCACAGGGCCCGAGCCTGCCTGAGAATGAGCCGATACTGGTGAAAGTTAAGCTGAGAGGTAGATGGAACCAGACCAGCATGATCTGTGTACCTGGGTCCAGGTGCACCGGGACTTTCCAGTTCTGGGAGCCAATCCAGTTCCTTCTTTCTGGAATTGGCTTTCTGCTTCTTGCAGAAATGACTAATGTGACCATTTTATGATTATCTCACTGGTCCCACAACGCATGGGGCAACAGAAAATACTGCTGCACCATGGGTTGGGAAAATGGAGATTTAATTCTGTCTTGAGACAGAAAACCCTGCCAAGACCCAGTTCTCCAAAGACCCAGCTCTGCTTCTTATTCCTTAAACCACAAAGACAGACCCGGGCCCAACCCTGCTGTGCTTGGGGAGTGGCTAGTTTGGCTGCGAGAAGGAGCCCATTAGAGGGTCTCCACCCTCTTTCTCCCCTTGGCTGGCTCCCGAGGAAGAGGGGTCTGGGGGATGGGGCCTGACCTCTTGTAGGCAGAGTGATCGTTCTTGACGCTGCACTTCATATTCTTCAGCTCGTCCAAGACGGCGAACATGTTGATGAACTTGCCCAGGGTCAGGAGGTAGGCCTCAGAGACGAAGTCCTTCCTCCGCTCGGCATGGCACAGCCGCTTCACCTCATTGCAGAACCGCTCAATGGCCTTGCGCTGCGGGCGGAGGGGCAGTGAGTACAGACGCGGCAGCCCAGTAGGGCAGCTCACTGCACTCTCGGGAGGTGGGGTCAGGGGGAGCAAGGTCAAGGCTCCCCTGGGGCTCTGGTCAGAGCCTGAAAATTTAGAGAAAGGCCAATCTGCCAGGAGGCCTTTCTCAGAGGAGTCCCTAAATCCAAAGTCGATTGCCAGAGGGCAGCCTGGAACCTTCCCCCAAGTGAGTCAAACCAACGAATTCACTTACCGGGCCTCTGTTGAGAAACATTATATGTTATTCATTTCTTATGTCCCAGCGCCTAGGATAGTGTCAGGCACCACACAGTAAGGGGGTAGAGACCAAGCGAGAGACATCCAGAGAAAGAGGGTCATTCATCCAATAAATAGTATTTACTGAGTATTTACTATGCGCCAGGCACCATGTTAGGCATTGGAGTAAAAGCAGGGAACACAACCAAAACAAACAAACAAACAAACAAACAACAACAACAAAAGAACCCCTCCATCCTAAGCAATTTATATTCTAGGGAGGGAAGACAGAAAACAAAATAAATTCTCTATATTAGAATGTGATATGTGCTATGGAGAAACAGAAAGCGGGGGAAGGGGACAGGGAGGGCGGGAGGAACTGAATATTTTAGTGGGAAGATCAGAGAAGAAATCACCAAGAAGTGGTGACTTTTAGGAAAAGAGTTTGAAAGGGGAGAAGGAGAAAGGTAGGATAATTGAGGGAAGTACATTGTGGATGGTGTGACCCACCAGTGCAAAGGCCCTGAGGCAGGCGTGTGCCTGCATGTTCAAGGGATAGGAAAGGAGCCAGAGGGCCTGAAGGGGTGTGAGCGCAGGGAAGGGGCTGGAGACGGGGGGCAGAGAGGACTCATGGCCGCTGGCTCTTGTAGGCCTTTGTCAGGGCTCAGGCCTCAGCACTGAGTGAGTTGAGGAGAAGTGGGAGGGCTCTGAAACAGGGTAATATGGTCTGAATTATATTTTTAAAAGGGTCATGGTGCTGCTGTGGTGAAAACAGACTGTAGGTGCTAATGGCAGAAGCAAGGAGAACAGTTAAGGGAAATGAAAACATGTCCCCACAAAAAAATTTGTCCATCAATCATCATAGCAGCATTGTTCATAACAGACCAAAAGTGGGTACAACCTAAAGGTCCATCCACTAATAAATAGAATGTGGCATAGCCATAGAATGGATTAGTGTTCAGTTATAAAAAAGAATGAAATTCAGATGCATGCTACAACATCGATAAACCTCGACAACACTGTGTGAAGTGAAATAAGCCAGTCACAAAAGGCCACATCGTGTGTGATTCTATTTATATAAAATGCCCAGCACAGGCAGATCCATAAAAGACAAAAAGTAAATTAGTGGTTGGAGCTGCTGGGGGACGGATGGGTAGTATAATGGGGTGATAGCTAACGGGCATGGAGTTTCTTTATGGGGTGATGAAAATGTTCTAAAATTGACTGTGGTGATGGATGTAAAACTCTGTGAACATCCTAAAAAAACACAAAACCCCCCACTGAACTGTCTACTTTAAATGGGCGAATTGTATGGTATGTGAATTATAACCCAATAAATCTGTTACCAAAAACAGCAGTTGAACCACAATAAGAAAAAAGAGGCTAAAGCAGTAACCCAGAGAGACAGAGAGAGGAGGAGGAAGAAGTTACTGCTTATATGTGAGCTCCACTCCACTGGCCTGGGACACCTGACGGGCCAGTCATTCCTCTCCTTCAAAGACCAGACCAGGCTGCACTTGGTCCTTCCAGAGCCTAAGTCCAGTAAAACTTTCTGCAATGATGGAAATGTCCCATATCTGCACCATCCAATACGAGAGCCACTGATCACATGGGGCTACTGAGCACCTACAATGGCTAGGACACACAGGAACTGAATTTTCAATTTCATTTCATTTTAATCAATGTGAATAGCCACATGGGGCTAATGGCTACTGTACTGGACAGCGGAGTTCTAGATTAGTCCACATCCTCCCTCCTCTCCAGGAGGCCCTCAGCTTAGCACTTGATTGGCTTTTGGATAGTTTTTCTCTCTTGGACCTGCCTTCCCAAAGAGAATTTAGGCTCCTGGAAGGCAGGTCCATGACGCTGATATTGGCAGCTTTGATGTGTTAAACCTACTCTGTAACTAGGGCTCTCCCTGGCTCTTTACAGATAGACCTCAGTTATCCTCACCACAAACCTGTTTGAAATGGGCATCATTTCCTAGGAGAAAAAACCGAAGGTGTTAGAGATGCTAAATCACCCACAGGCACATCATTACAGCGGAACCTTCGGTGGCTGTGCCTCTGCCCTGGGTGGCACACATTGGCACCTTCCCCACACATCCCATCTCCCGCCCCCAGGAGGCCAGCGCAGAGCTGGGAGCGGGGCAGACATTCGGCCAGGGCCTGGCAGCCTATTTAGGAAGCTCCAGTGGGGCATGTGGAGGGCAGAGTGCGTGGCACGACTCCCACCCTGAGGTACACACTGGTCCTAACGTGGTCAGGCTGCATTCCTGAACAAGCTTCTGACACACGCGTCATCATCAACGTGTTTGCATTACTTTTCCTTTGTCATTTCTGTCTAACCAGCTTGCCCACTTATCTTCCATTCATGGAAGCCCTTGGCTGTCTTTTCTCTTTTCCTCCTTTAAACGATCACTCTTCCTGGCATCCCAACCGGTCTCCCTGCTGTCATCAGCCCTCTCCCCGCCTGCCCCCCACATATGTACTGCCCCCGCCTCCCATCCATTTCCCACACACAGCAGCCTGATGTTGTAAAACCTCAAATCAGATCGTGTCACTAGAAACCTCCAGCAGCTTCTATGGTGTCTGAATAAAATCCACATATTCTTCTCATGTCCTGCTTCATGGCCGACAGCGAGTGTCATTGATGACTGGGTCCCCAGCTACCTCACCAGCCTCAACTTGTGTCACTCCCGCTCCTCACTCTGCGGCTGAGTTCAGGCTCTTAAACATGGCATCCGCCTTCAGGCCTCGGGGCTTTTCCCTTTGCAGTTCCTTCTGCCTGAAGCCCCCTTCCTCCTGACCATCACATGCCAGCCTTTCTCATCACACAGATCTCAGTTCAAATGCCACTTCCTGAGAGGCCGTCCCTAAAGCTGCACCCACCCATGTGGCAGACACCCTCCATCCCAGAGATTTCTAAAATTTGATTTTACTCACGGCACGTATTATGCCCTGAAAATTACTGTGTGTGGTTTATTGTTAGCCTCTCCTCCGGTGGCCCAGAACACACTCAGATGCTCACTAGTTTGAGGGAGGGCGGGTCTGTCTGTCTTGGTCAACCAAGGGTGTGTCAGGAGCACTCAAAAAGCATTTGCTGAATGAATAAATGTGGCGCAGAAATCCAGACCACCCAGACCACGGTGTCTAGAGGAATGGGCGGGGCTTTCTCAGGTCTCCGGGTCATGACCCGCCCTGACGCCCTCACCTGAAAGTACATGAACTTCATGAGCTTGGTGACCTCTGGTTCCAGCACCTCCACTGTCTTCTCATAGATCTCCACCCGGTTGGGCTGCTCATTGCATTTCACCTGTGGAGAGAGAGGGGTTCCAGACATCCCAATTGGCCTAGGCTCACATCTGTTGCCTTATTCATAGGACTCCTTTTCATTCTCGAATGTACCTCATCTAGGAAGATAAATGATGTGGTCACCCTAGTGAGAGGAGGCTGGGGCAGCCCAGTCTGATGGGTCTGACTCGGGGCAGAACTGCTCCCTAGACATCGCCTGCAGGAAAGAAACCAGTTGGTCCCAAGAACAGAAAGCTCCTCCCCTTCAATCTGCTCTGTGCCCTGACCCGGAGCTGTACACACGTCTAAGCTGATCTGCAAGGTCTCCCTCCTTCAGCCTTTGCCCGACTCTGACTCCAGAGGGGCCCTGTCAGATTCTAAGCAGAGAACAATATTCTGTCCATTGCTCTGGATGCATTTGGGGCCAAAGCTGCCTGGCCATTCTCGGGCCCATCAAGAAACCCATTTTCTCCGCCCAGTGGTTTTCAATGCACCAGAATCGAGTGGCCGATGTTTTCACAGGATGCACACCCAAGGCTGCTAACAGGGCAACCAAAACTGACAGGTGAGTGAAGGGTACGCACAAAGACATTCTTCACATTGTTTTTAGGAATTCTTAAAATAATAGGCACGAGCTACACCCACCAGTCATTGATTAAATGGATACAATAGGACACATTCATTCAATATTACTACATAACTGTTAGAAGGAATGAGATGGATGTATGTGAACTGACTTGGAGGGATTGCTACCATAAACGGACAGATGAAAACAGCTGCAGGACAGTAAGTGTAATTTAACCCCATTTTTGTTAAACAAAACAATGTGTATGTTTGTGTGTTCATATATAACGCCCATATATATAATATACAGAAAATCTGAAAACGGTGCAAACTAGACTGTTCATACATCGCTACTTCTGGGGGCTAGAATTAGAGTAAGGGAGAGGAACAGTTTCTCTCTTTACACATCTGTGCCTTACTGGATTTGTTAAAATGGGACACGCAAGTTATATGACAATGATAATAATGGCAATACAACACATGTATGTGTCGACTTGGACAAATGTCAGTAAAAAGAATAGAGGGTAAAAAAACAAGTGGCAGAGTGATGCAAATAAAGAACAGACTTGTGTAATTGATAATAATTTACAAAATAATAATCATAGGAATGTTCATGACAGTCAAGGAAAAAGATCCAGACGACCAGGCAGCAAAATCTCCAAAACGTCCGTAGTGCTCATGCTTGCTAGGAGGTGAGTTTGGGTGGTGGGGCTGAGGAGGTGGGGGATGTCTTGCTTTTTACTGTTTACCTTTCGGCACTGGTTCAGGTGTTATACACTTAGTACATACTGCTTGCAAAATAAAAGATATTGAACACATATTTTTAAAGTAGGGTTCAGTTTTATGGGAAGCTCTCGGAATGTCACCTGGAGCTCAGCTATAAGGATGGGGGTGATGTGGAAGGTGGTCATGCCCGCATGGCAGCAGGCGAGCCACCTGGCAAGGACTGTCTCACCTGGGGGATGGCCCGGGAACAGCTGCGCCAGGTGTACAGCATGACCGCATACTCATGCCCTTCCTCCAGCATTTCATTCTGAAAAGCAAAACACGCTCATCAGGGAGAAACTCAGCCAGCACCACAGGGCTTCTCAGCAGCCCCCCAAGTCCTCACTACTCAGTGTGTTGGTGGACCACATCACCTGAGGGGCTGATTAGAAATGCAGAGTCTCTGGCCCCTCCCTGGGTCCACAGAATCCAAACCTGCATTTCCATAACATTCCCAGGTGACCCACATTCCCAGAGGCACAGTAAGTTTGAGAAGCACTGGCCTAAATTACCCATCAGATACCCATAGGTGCTCTGTATAAGCAAGCCACATTTTCCAAGGATGGATGGCCACTTAGAAAGGAGGCAGATCTATCTGTTCCAACAGCAAAAGTTGTCCCAGATAGCAAGAAAATAAGCAAGTAGTAAAATACGCACAGCAGATTGGTTAAAAACCCAGAGTTATAATTATGAAAGTATATTACTGTATATGGAAAAATATTTTGGTGGAATATACACCAAATTTTGACTAGCAAGCTCTCTGTGGGGCTGGATTAATAGTTTTCACTTTTCCTGTCATATAAACTATAATGTTTGCACTTTTTATGAGAGCCCATGTTAATAGTTCATAAACAGGAAAATGATCAATTTTTAAAAAATAATATGGAGCAGATGGCAAAACCAACAACAGCATGAAGAATAAATCTGAAAAAATGCAGTGATGACTCACTCGCCTCACCTATTAATAGTAAGGGCGACTGTGGCAAGAGCCCTAAATTCAGGGTCCAAATATCTGGGCTCAAATCTCAGCTTCATCACTCCCTTTGCCCTTTGGCCTTCAGGAAATAACTGAACCTAAGATTCTTCATTTAGTGACAAAGACAATAACAACCTCAGATAATTTTGAGAATTAAATGGAATACAAATACAAACACAACACACACACACACACACACAACACACACACAGCACACACACATACACATGTGCACTCCCACACGCTAGGTAATCTGTAAAGGGAGCTACAACTATTACTAGGAAAAAGATAGTCTATCAGTTTCTCAAAAAATTAAACACAGAGCTATCGTATGACCCAGCAATTCTACTGCTAGGTATATGCCCAAGAGAAATGAAAACATAGATCCACACAGAAACGTACATACTTGTTCATAGAAGTTATTGTTCTAATAGCCAAAAAGTAGACACAACCCAAATGTCCATCAACTGATGAATGGATAAATAAAATGTGGTCTAGCCATACAATAGAATAGTATTCATCTGTAAAAGAAAGGAAGTGCTGACACATGTTACAACCTGGATGAACTTTGAAAACATGATGCTAAGTGAAAGGAGCCAGATACAAAAGGCCACATATCGTAGGATTCATTTAGATCAGCAGTTCTCAACCTGTGGGTCGCGACCCCTTTGGGGGTCGAATGACCCTTTCACAGGGGTCGCCTAAGACCATTGGAAAACACATATTTTCGATGGTCTTAGGAACCGAGACACCGCTCCTCTATCCGTCTCCATGCTTCAAGACAAAATTTCATTTACTTGTAATTAGAAATAAATATTTCACAATATATAATTACATATTGTTTTTGTGATTAATCACTATGCTTTAATTATGTTCAACTTGTAACAATGAAAATACATCCTGCATATCAGATAGTTACATTATGATTCATAACAGTGGCAAAATTACCAGTTATAGAGTAGCAACGAAAATAATTTTATGGTTGGGGGTCACCACAACATGAGGAACTGTATTAAAGGGTCGCGGCATTAGGAAGGTTGAGATCCACTGATTTAGATGAAATGTTCAGAACTGACAAATCCACAGAAAGATAAAGTAAATAGTGTTTTCCTGGGGATGGGAAGAAAAAGGAATTGGAAGTGACTGCTAATGGGTTTGAGGTTTCTTTTTGTGGTCATGGAAATTAGACAGTGGTGATTGCTGTCTAACATTGCAAATGTTTTTTTAAAAGCCCCACCGAACTGTACACTTTAAATGGTGAATTTTATGCTATATAAAGGATATCTCAAAAAGAACAGTATAAAAAGGGTATTATAAGACCATCTCTATTTGTAAATGTATTGCTACAAAAATGAACCTTCACTGATTCATTTTTTTTTTATCCCACTTAACATCTCTACTTCATAACATCTTCCTAGTACAAGAACAGATTTAACCTGGAGTTTATTGCTTTTTATAGTTTTGTTTGCAACAACAAATATCACTGACGAGTCACGCTTTTAATCAGTATTTTTAAAATCAGTAACGAGTTGTCCTTGAGATGACAGAGAACCAGGATCAAGCTGGTGGGTCTCCTGCTGCCATTGCTTCAAACCACATGTCAAAAGAGGGAAGTGTGGGCCGGCCGAGTGGCTCAGTTGGTTAAGAGCTCGCTCAAGAGTTGGAGCTGTAAGCAACAGGGTCCCTGGTTTGATTCACAGCCTGAGCTGAGCTGCAGTTGAGCTGCCAACAGGTGGCAGGATGGCTCAGCTAAAAAAAAAAAAAAAAAAAAAGAGGGAAGTGACAGTCATATAGGGAACGTGTGTCTACTTGTTAGCACCTAAACTGCCCACTGGTAGGTGTGAATATTCCAACTTGTTCATTTAATGAATGTTACTGATTGCTCAGGGGTCCCAGGCTCTGGGCTACTTGGAATAGGGCAGTGAGCAAAAATGATATAGACGCTGCCCTATGGACAGTTCAGTTGACTGTCAGCCAGATTTATTGCATAATTATGCCTGGAATATAAACGTCAGGAAGGTGTGCTGGAAAGAGCCCTTATTGGGGCCACAGGAGACTTGAGTTCTGGTCCTGGCTCTGCTTGGGCTCACCTTTTACCTTGAAAATGTCATGGTTTTCACATATGGGGGTAAAGAGTTGGCCTAAATCACTGGTTCTCAACCCCAACTGCACATTAGTCACATGGAGAACTTTGAAAACTGGCGATGCTCAGGTCATGCCCCTCTAGAAATAAAACATTATCCCTGGGAGGAGACCCAGGTATCAGTATTTTTTAATGCCCCCCGGGTGAATCCAAAGTACAGCCCAGGTTGACAGTGGCAGGACTAAGGATCCCTAAGGTTCTTTACATTTGTAAGATTCTGTAAGTCCATGACTTAAACCCAATGTGAGTTCAGCTGAAATTTCAGGGCTGGTAGTGACAGGCCGAACCTCTCAGCACTTACTTTGGACACCCTGCCCCCATGTTACCCCCAGCAAAGAATCCTCAATTATGCCGCATAGCTAGTCAAGTATGTCGTCTATACTTTCTCCTCCTCCTCCTCCTCTTTTTTCTGGCTACCCTGCCCTTTGAGAGATTCACCTTGCCTGAGTGTGGGCAGGAGAAACACAAGAAGGCGAGCATCTAATGAAGACCCTTTGCTGCTGATAAGCTACTCTAGGCGAAGATTTAACAAGGTACAAGGTGGGAACTGTTGAGTAAAGTGAGATTTTGGCACTAATATGTGGGATCCGAACCGGGGCCCTCTGGCGTCCCAAGCCAACTCTTAACCATCGTGCCACTCGGCCGGCCCTGTATACTCTATTCTAAAACACTATCAGCACCATCCCTGTTTTGGCAAAACAATGGCTCCACAAAGATATCCATATCCTAGTCTGCAGAACCTGTGAATATAATACCTTACATGGCAAAAGGGACTTTTGCAGATGTAATTAAGTTAGGAACCTTGAGACGGGGAGGCTATCCTGAATTAGCTGGTGGACCCAAGGTAATGACAAACGTCCTAAAAAGTGAAAGATGGAGGCAGGAGAACCAGAGAAGGGAAGCGAGGACGGAGGCAGAGATTGGAGTGATGTAATTGCTGGCTGGAAGGGGGCTGAGCCAAGGAGTATGGACAGCCTCTAGAACAGCGGTTCTCCACCTTCCTAATGCCACGACCCCTTAATACAGTTCCTCATGTTGTGGTGACCCCCAACCATAAAATTATTTTCGTTGCTACTCTATAACTGTAATTTTGCTACTGTTATGAATCTTAATGTATCTTTTTGTTTTCCGATGGTCTTAGGCGACCCCTGTGAAAGGGTCGTTCGACCCCCAAAGGGGTCGCGACCCACAGGTTGAGAACCGCTGCTCTAGAAGCTTGAAAAAGCCAGGAAACACATTCACCTTGCGAGTCTTCCAGAAAGGAATGCAGCTCTGCCAACCCCTTGATTTTAACCCTGTAAGACCCATGTCAGACTAGTGACCAAAAGAACTGTAAGCAAACACATCTGTGTTATTTTAGGCCACTAAGTTTGTGGTAATCTGTTATGGCAGCAATAGAAAGCTCATACAATCCCCCTCTAAACTGGCCCCTCCTCCTGACCTGCCTACTGGGGCCCCTGACATGGTATATCTAGGGCGCTGCAGTCAGTGTAGCTCCATTCCCTCTGCTCCAGCACCCAGCTGACTATTACGCCAGGTAATCTGAACCTCCCGTGTCTCTCGTATCCATATCCTCAGCCATCCCTCCTGCCACCGCCCTGATTCGGCCCTTAATACCGCCAATGTAGACAACTTAATCTCAACCGATTTACGAGTCATCTCCCAATTCATTCTGCGCATAACTAACAAATGAAGCGTATTCCCCAAGCAGAGTTCTGTTCACGTTTCTCCCAGGGATAAAAATGTTCCATTGCTTTTGATTCTTGATTAAATGAATGAAAGCCCTCTGTTATGGGCTGAATTGTGTTGTTCCTCCCCTCCACCCACCCAAATTCATGTTCACTCCTGACCCCCAGCACCTCAGACTGAGACTATGTTTGGAGATAGGTCCTTTAAAGAGGTGATCACGTTAAAATGAGGCTATTATGGGGGGGGGCCCCATCCAATCTGACTGGCCTCCTTTTAAGAAGAGGAAATTTGGACACAAGAAGAGACACCATACGTGTGTGTGCGCACAGAGGAAAGGCCACTGTGAGGACACAGTGAGAAGGTGGCCAGGGAGAGAGGCCTCAGGAGAAACCAACTCTGCCGACACCTTGATATTGGACTTCCAATCTCCAGGACTGTGAGAAAATAAATGTCTATTATTTAAGCCACCCAGTCTGTGGTATTTTGCTATGGCAGCTCTAGCAAGCGAATTAACCCTCCATGTGCTGACCCTTATCTAACTTTCCACAAGTGCCACAGAGAAGTTCCTTGCATGTACCTTACTGTCCGATCCCAGGCAGTCTCAGAAGTTTTGCCTCTGTGCCTTTGCTCATGCTGGATCCACAAGCTGGTATGCATGTGCCCTCTCGTCTCTCACAGATAAAATTCTAACTGTGTGGGACAGCAGTGTGCCGCGGAAAGGGGACAGGCCTGGGAAGCAGAAGTCCTGGATCCCACGTGCGACCCTGTGACTTGCTAGTTGTGGGATCATGAGCAACTCGCTTATTCACTTCTCTAGGCTTCAGTTTTTTCATCCCTAAAAATGGGTATAATGATCTCTTTGCAAGCCGTAGGACTGTTATAAGGATCCCATGATATCATGGATGAGAATATCTTACACATTTTAAAGTTCCATATATACGGTTATAATGTATGTGTGTGCGCACGCGCGCACACGCGCACACACACACACACACACACACACACACACACACACATTGTAACATTATATATAGTATATAAGGCCCTACTCAAAAGCCACTTTCTTCATTAAGCTTTCTCTGACCCTTCTCAAGTCCCCTGCAAAACCACAGAACTTGAAACTTTTACCATATGGTTTACTTTAATTTAGTGCATTTTTATTTGTCTGCAAAAAGCACAAGTTTTGTAGTCAGACAGACCTGGGTTTCGCGCTGTCACTTGTCAGCTGCAGACCCTGAATAACTCACTTACCTTTTCTAGAATTCAGTTTTCCCCATCTGTAAAATGGGTATTGTAATAGAACCTACCTCACAGGGTTGAGGTGAGGATTGAGACAATGCATTTAAAATATCTTCACAGAAAGTGTTCAGTAAATGGTAACTTGTCTGTTTTCCACTTGACTTGTCGAGAATCAAGACTAACCCCTATTTTTCCTTACATAGCCCTCCCCAACATCAGCACAGTCTCTGCAGGTACCAGACACAACTATTTACTAAATGAATGGGCTTAGTATGGTAAGAAAAGGTTTTAGGATATAACCGATACAGTGAGAAAGGTCCACAGAGCCTGTGGACGAGGAATCTGGAATTCTTCACATTTCAGTGCTGCATGAGAATAAAATCAGTGAAAGCCCAGGAGGAAAGGAAGGATCCCTCAAAGAGCGGTCAGACACCTGACCCATCAGAGAGCTGGCCCCACTGGTAAATGATTTAGGCCACCAGCTCCCTAGCGTCAGTATATTATTCCAAAGCTACTGCCCCTTTTTTTTGAGAAATTGTTTGCTTTGCAAGAGATAAAATGTTACAAAGCCAGTCATCTACAAAGTATAAGACAAGGCAGGATATAATCACATGTTAATTCAAAAGGCCACAGAAGGGCAGAGAAATGAATAGTGGGGATAAGGTGAATAGGATTTGCAAAACTGGAAGATATGGGGACAGTATGGCCCTAGGCACTGAGAGGGAATGGGCTTAAGGAGACGGGTCTGATTGAGGCAGGGGTTCTTGGAACGGTTGAGCACATGCCCCTGCTGTGAGAAGTTGCCCACGGCCCCTCCCGCCCTGGCAAGAAGGTCACCGAGACTTACCATGCTGGAGTGGACCGTCGCCTGCTCGATGTACCTTGCAATGCCTGTGACAAATGCATTCCTGTCCTCAAAGTTTGTGTCAAAGTTAGCCTGTGGGAATCAGAGGACAGGAACATTTGGTTGTTGGAAAACAGGTCCCAGGTGGCTGGGTGCCCAGGGAACAAACTGCTGCCTACAAATGCCACAAGCTCTCTATAGAAAGCTCTGTCCACATCACTCTCTCATCTCTACCCCCAGAATCGCACTCTGGACCACACTGGGCAGAGCCATCTACAGACATTGCCCACATCCACTTCCCACTGGTAGTTTCCAGGTTCACCCAGTCAAGCCCCAGAAGTAAATGCTTATACTATATAAGCCTAAGTAGCTGTTAAAAGTTAAGATGTGCATTGCTTTCATCCAGCAGTTGCAAAAACACTCACCTGAGGGTGCAGATACATACATACAAGGATTATAACTACAGCATTTTTTTGTGATAGAAAAAACTGGAAATCATACAAATGTCCATTCATAGTGAAAGGCCAAATAAATAATAGTATATCCATACAATGGATTTATATGTACTCCATGGTGGTTAAAAATAACGTGGCAGCATTGTCAGGGGAAAATATCCATAATGAATTTTAAGTTAAAAAAGCGAAATCATAGAGCAATATATATAGCATGATTCCCTTTGGGTATATTAAAAATACATACATATATATGGTAAAAAAAAAAGCGTGTGTGTCTACATATAGACATAGTTACAGGGAAATTTTTATTTGCTATACTTTTCTGTATTGCTTATAATAAAATTGTATTTATATAATTAAAACTTTAATCTGGGTTACCAAATGTGAATGAACCAAGTTTGAGTTGAACCTTCGGACATGTTCGGACATGCTTCATAAAACTAACCACTGAATTAAAAATATATTATGCATTTCTATTTAGTCTCATTTAGCAGTCCAAGAACTTTCAAAAGGTCAAATATAGCCAAGGATTTCAAATTAAGAATATTCTCTCTTAACGTGGCATACTCGCTGGCAGACCACGGGCTGTTTGCGAGGCAGACTCCGGCTGCACCAATGCTCTTCCCACCCGTGTCCTGGTGGGATCGAGGTTTTGAGCAATCTGATCATGGTTTATCACAAGCTTGCCTCTCTTAGGCAAAAGCAAACAACTGTGACCGGCTTCCCCGAGCCATTAGCTGCTCTGGGGAGTCGAAGAGCTCTTCTCACATACATGAAGGAAAAGTAATTACCCAGGCAGGCTCTAGGGGTTTCTAAATTGCAATATTTAATTCATGAGGTCGGAGCTGCCAACGCCTTGGTTGGTGCTGCAGCTAGAACAGCCGGGAAGGTATGTGGGGTCAGAGGCAGATCAACAAGCCTTCCCTAGGGAGGAGAAATAGCTCGGGTGTACATTTACCAGCTAATCTATTCCTTACACTCTGCTCCACCAGTGCGCCAGGGACTCCATCAGCATACGACCTTTCACCTTCTACATGCAGGTCTCCCCTTTCCCTCTGCCTTCAGGGCACACCCTCTTAGGGCGTCCCTAGAGTTCCTGAGCCCCCAGTGCCCTGGGAGAATGTACCTGGTACATGATAGAGGAAGGCGGAGGCTCGATGCATGGCTGCTGGTCAGGGAGGGGCAGCTCTTCCAACAGGTCCACATTGGACAGGGCATCTTCCAGGGTGACGTGGGTGGTCATGGCTGCAGTTTCCGTGCTTCACGCTGCGGGAAAGGAAGGGAAGGACCATGAAGAATTTCAGGGGCCTCCAGGTATTGCTCTCAAGTTCACCCTGCCCAGGCTCCTTCCAGAGAACAAAGGAAACTAACACGCACTGAGGCCATACTTGCTACGATTTTGCAAGGTGCCTTCAACCTGCACCTGATATTTGAAGATTGCTTTACAGTTGACAAAGTACATTTTATGTCCATTATCTCAGCTGAGCTTCACCACAACCCTCTGTGATGAGCATGGTCGATGGTATCATATCCACATCTCTGATGAAGACACAAAGAAGTGATGCAACGCCTATGCAACCACAGTGACCAAGAGCAAAGGATCTCATGTCGCTAAGGCATGTCGCTAAGACACAGGCCATGGTCAGCTCCCAACTTTTGTTCTTCATGACAATATTTACCAGTCCCACTCTCACATTATTGCACAGCACAAATATCCATGACTGCAACAGCCAAGATTATCCACTTGAAAGCGGGGCCTAGGTTTTACAAGCTGATTAAGCTGGGACTAAAAGAATTCAGATTCCAGCAAAAGTCACCTTATGTACAAAAAGGAAGAGCCATCGTTTTTCTTGGCCTGGCAGTGTTTTTTGACCCACACCAAACAAATCAGCCCCAAACGGACATTTTTTTGTGTGTCTGGGAAGCTGGTAGAAGGTGGTGGCTTCGATGAGAGCCTTGCCAGGCAGTGAAGCTTAAAAGGACCTGAACAGCAGTTACACAACTCAGCAAACAGTTTTTTCAATACCCATTTTTTCAAGCATACATGAAATGTTGATAAAAACTGATCATGATTGAGGCCATCAGCTTCCCCCAAATATGACCTAGAAGTCACATTCACTGATGACAATGCAATAAAATCAGGACTCAATAATGCAAATAACAGCCTCCCAAAAACCTCCTCCCTATGAAAATGTATAAAAACACACTTCTAGGTTATTCATACCTAAAGAGAAATTCAAACAGAAATGATAAAATATTTAGAACTGAAAGAGAGCATGAATAAATGCCTTAAATGCATTTAGTAGAAAATAAGGAAGTGGAACTAAATGAACCAAATTTTCCATTCGAAATCTAAAGAATGAGTAAACATTGACCCAAAGAAATGAGACTATAGGGATTGTTCATTACAAAAGCAGAAATGAAGCAAAAACAAAGCACACCAATACAATAGACTAGGCGAACAAAAATCTAAAACCTGAGCTTTGTAAGATTAATAATAATAAGTGAGCCCTTTAGCACATGTCAATAAGGAAACAAAAAGAAGGCCCACTGTGCTACGGGCACACCCTTGCTTCCCCACCCCCAATCAAAGCGGGTGAGACATGCTTAAGGGCTCTACTAAGAGGACTGAGTGCTGTAGGAGAATTTGCCTGGCCCACTAGGAGATGTGTCAGAGCACAAGGGAGAAGAGGGCCATGGTCAGGAGAACTGGGTCCAGGGGCTGGAAGGGCCGAAACAGCTGGAGTGTGCCCAACGGCTCGCCGCCCCTAAACTGGAAGGGCAGATGGAGCTGAACGGTTAACTGTGATTCACACTTCACTGGGTTCTCAACACACCTCCCTGTCATGCACTACAGCCACAGCCAAAGCCACCTCCAATGAGGGCACAGGGAGCTCCGAAGTGACTTCCCCCTGTGCCCTCTGCAGGCACCTGGCCTCACCGGGGAGTTTCAGGCCCCCCCCCCATATCTATGCTTCTTCCTCTTCTCTCTTCTCACCCCTGAATTCTAAGCGTGACATTTGCTTCTAGACAAAACCCTTTGCCAATGCACAGAAAAGGCTGCCCTCTTTCTTACATCAATATTAAGTCCATCGCGCAGGAGGGGTTATTGATTTTATGGGGAATAATGATGTACAAAGCTCCAAGCCCTAATAACTCTCCTCATTAATTCAAATAATAATAACAATAAACATTTTTTTAGCCCTTACTCTGTGTTAGACACTCTGCCAAATCCTTGGCTGTTTTAATCTTGTATCAACACTATAAAGCTAGGTACTATGATCATTCTCATTTACAGATGAGCAAATAGAAGTTCAGAATTTAAGTAATTTCCCAAGGTCAAGAGCTGGCAAGTGATGGAGCCGTGGTTGGAACCAAGGTTTTTGTCCTACAAATAAAGGCCTAGAAGCAGCTATCTATAAGTACCAGGGTTGTGTCAAAGGGACCTAGGAGCCAACTTGAGGCAGCTTCCACTGGCCAAAGATGGGGCAATGTGAACACCACTTAGCGTAACTCAGGGGGCTTGAAACAATATCAAATATGTTTAAATCCATGACAGCATAAAAACACTTAATAGCAACTTGGTTTTTACTACTTTGTTGCCATTGGAGGATACTTGTGAACCAACTTTTATGTTGAAAATCAATAAATCAAAGGAAAGAAGTGAACACTTAATCTGTCTTTCCTATGCAAAGTGTTAACACTGGAAAACCAAATTGCAGAAGAGAGGTGTTGCTGTTTATAAAGTTCTCTCTCCTTTTTTCCCCCAGAAATAGTGACAGAATTAAAATATCCCTATTTTCCAACCCCTAATGAACAAATGGACGTAGGCACTGACCACCAACTGCTGCTGGCATCACTAAATGAAAGACAATCAGACATCATGTGGCTCCTGATGGAAAAACACACCATCAATCTACGAAGAAAGCTGGACCCAAAACAAAAAACTTCAATCTAATCAAGCATTGATACCCATTGACAGGAAATACAGAAGAACACATTTAAAATACGCCACAGTGTTGTCATCAGTAAAATCCAATCTATGGACAACTCTGCTGGACAAACAACTCGGGGCCTTCAACAAATAAATTGCAAGGAGAAAAAAAGAGATGGAGACGGAAGCAATAGCTTATAAGATCTTATTTGGATCCTATTTCAAAAAAACCACCATAAAAGTAAAATTAAAACATATAAAAGAGCCCGGGAAAATTTAATACTGATTGGATATTTGGTGATATTAAGAAAACAGTGTTATTATTTTTTAGATGTGATGATACTGAGGTCGTTCTAAAAGACTCCTTATCTTCTAGAAATACCTACTAAAATATGGATAAAAGGATATAGGTGTTTGATTCCAAATGATACCAGACGGGTGAAGAGTGAGAAATGGAACAAAGCCAGCCACGAGTTTATAAGTGTTATTGCTGTGAGATGCTTACACAGAGATTGATCATATTTCTTTTCTATATAGTTTGATATATGTCTGAAATTTTCCATAAAACCCCCCAACTCAGTGTATACATTCCCAGTTCTAATCTGTCTTCCCTTCCTTTACCTTCTCTGACTGCCACTTGTCATGACCTTTCCTTTCTCCTTTCTCCTATCACATGGGTTTTTCTGGGCTTTTCAGACATCAAAATACTCATTTACCAGAATGGCCCTTTAACACAATAATACCCCTGCATGTCCCTTGAATAAGTGAACAGCCTACAAAGTCAGTAAGTTGGGAATCTTTCTTTCCATCAATGCAACCTTTCTTTTCTCCTTGTAAATACAGCTTCTCTAATGGATTTCTATGTTTGTTTGTAGATCACTCACTGCTTAAAGGGGGAAAAAATGAGACATTTTTAACTCAAGGGCTGGAAGTCACTGCCAACTCCAAATCAGATGGAAAGAAAAAAACATACTGGAATTTTTTAACAGAGGTATACATGAAAATAAGCTATTTTCTGGCCCAAGTGTCCTGCCTGTTATGCAACCTCCCAAATGAAAAGAATTCTTTAATTCAGTCTATGAACATATGGCCATTTTGTCATTTTGGAAGAGACATTAATAAAACATTTAAAAATTAACAGTGTTATGGGAGCATCCTTTACCAAGACACAGCTGCAACCTCTCAATGCGGGGCACTCAGGGCATATTGAAATCCAGTGTCTTCATAACAAACTCAAACTCAGTGTGGCCTGGTGTCACAGAGACAGGGACTACCACTGGGCTTATAGGCAATTTGCTTCTGAGAAGCGCCCTTGGCTGAGATGACTGATAGATCCTGAGCAAAAGGAGGCGGGCCCCACAAATGCAGGTGCTAGAGGAGCCTGGCTTTGGGAATGCAGGTTCTGACTACCCGTACCCTAGACCCTGATACTCTGTAAGCAAGAGACCTGTTTTGTCGTTTTCCGTTTGACATTCTGGAAGGAAAGTGAAGAAAGGTATTTTTACTGAGGTGGAATACTAGGCTAAGGATAGTGGTTAAGCTTGAGCCATGGGCTCAGATCCGTTATCTGTAACTTACTAGGTATATAACCACAAGCGTATTACTTAACCTCTCAGAACCTCAGTTTCCTTAGCTGTAAAAGGGCGATAATACTCCCCGCCCTGTCATTTATTCTGAGACTTATATGACAGTGTGGCATGTGGAGTGCTTAGTCTAGGAGCAGGCACAGAGTAAGCCCTCAGGGAAATGTTAGCTAGTCAGGTGGCCTCTTTTTAGCAGAGTGAATGGGATGAATTAAACACTGCAACAATACTGCCACCCAAAAGCAAGGCATTTCTATTATTACTCTAACATCTCAACTTTATAGATCTTGCATACTGACTTCCTCAATCACAACTACCCTGCAAGTTTGAGAGGACAGGTGTTATTTTTGCTGTCTTTCTAAGGAGGGCACATGTGACTCTGAAGTGAAAATTTCCATTCAAGGTCACATGGCCAGCTGGTGGCTGAGCTCCAGCAGAAAGGGGATGGATATCTTAACTCCCAGTTCTATGCCCTTTCTTCGAGACCACGCCTACTTTTGTATCATTTTGAAAGGTACCGAGCACATTACTTTTCTTTTTTTCCCCCCTCCAGTTTGGCTGCCTTTTCCTTCCTTAGAAGACCAAGACTCTGCCAAGCTAGAAAGATCAGGTAACTGTCCCCTTTGGGTTTTATGAAGATCAGCAGGCCAGGAAATATGTTCCCTGTTGGTAAATCTCTCCAGTGAGAAAGCAACTAAAAAAAGTAAATAAAAATAAAATTTAAATATATGCATGTTTATATATACAAA